CATCACCACGCGCCATCCGCCGCCTGGCCAGGCGCGGCGGCGTGAAGCGCATCTCCGGCCTCATCTACGAAGAGACCCGAGGGGTGCTGAAGGTCTTCCTGGAAAACGTGATCCGCGACGCCGTCACCTACACGGAGCACGCCAAGCGCAAGACAGTCACGGCCATGGACGTGGTCTACGCGCTCAAGCGCCAGGGGCGCACGCTCTACGGCTTCGGGGGCTGAGGTTTTCTTATTTTGCCACAGCCTGCACTTTTGAACAAAGGCCCTTTTCAGGGCCGCCCAACTACACAAAAGGGCTGTAACGCAGAGCCTAACAGCGCCAGGTGTAAAATAATGCCACGGTTGCGGGAGTAAAAGCAAAATTCAACCCTACATATCCACGTTGCTTCCTTCTGTTTCTTACATAAAAGCAGGACGATTTTAATAATAGAAAGTGAAAGGACCAGGTCAGTTAAGCGAACAAAGAAAGTCACAACCCTATCAGCGAGCTGTCTGCCTGTGAGCCAATCAGAAACGATGACCTAATGTTGCCGGAGGCCCGCAAAGGCAAGTAGGGGGATGGGAAAGTGGTAGGCCCTGTTTTAGAGAAAATTATTTCTGCAAGCTCAGAGAAGTAAATCCCCAGTTATGTGCTGAAAAAAAAACGAGATTTTAGCCACCAGTACGATAGTTTATTTCGGTGAAAACGAAAGGGAAACCAGATTCTGACTGCCAGAATACATGTTGGATGCAGGGAAATCAAAACCTGGTTTAGAAAAGATGCCTTCGTTTCTGAGAGCCAACACAGTCCCAAGGAATTAAATATACACACTCATTCACAGAAGAGTGAAAATTAGGTAATGTTTTAAAATTAGTTATAGCTGTACAACTAGAACATACAATTCGCTGTTTAACTAAAGTGGGTGAATCGTGTAAACTATAACTGAAAAAAGAATAAATGAAACAAAGATGCCTACAGGAAAGCAAATGAGAGCTGCTGTTCGCCCATCAATGTCTTCATGAGCTACACTCAAGTACTGTATCGGCATTGCCTCATTGTAGCACAGAATTTTAAAGGATCTAATTCAATATGATCGACTAATATATCAGATATCAGAAGTCAACTGAAAAAAGGATGTGAACTCACTTGCAGGCTAATGGGGAAACATGCTTATCTGAAAAGATGCTCAAATGCTTCTCCCCGGTTTTTTGGTATCATTTTTTATAAGCAGTTGATTTTAGCCTCATGGCTTTTGTGTGGATGGTCTCTCCTTTCTCACAGACCTGACAGTGATCATTTAAGATTTATTGGGTAATGATGAAAGTATCTAGTTTGGCTCTTTAAAACTGACAATGGAAAAAATAAAAATAAAACTGACAATGGAATTCGAGCTACATCCTAAATAATTTCAACATTTCTGGAGTCAGACCAGCAGAAAAGGGCCTGAGAGGAAAGACTGACTTTTTTTTTTTTTTTTTTTTTTTTTTTTTTTTTGTCCTTTTTAGCTGGTATTGTTTTAAGAGATTTTTAATGGCCTGTGCAATGTGCCAGTGAGCAAATGAGAATTCCATTTGCTCATACCCTGAGTTAATGCAGAGAGTTCAGACACAGAGCTGTATGGGAGGAATGTAGTCACCGCTAGCTTCTATCATTATGTACCTGATATTTTTACAGCATTTCAGACTAGTACCGAAAGCACTATAGTCATTGTAGTCAAGCCTACCATGAGTAGAAACCTTTAAACCTTCAAGACTTTCATGCAGTTCTTGCTTGATTTGCAATCCCTGCTCCTTCCCTCATCTAGAGAAAGTGCAATGCTGAGTGCAAAACCAGTTGTGGTAACACTCTTGTAGGCCTAGAGGAGGCAGCCTTGGAGGATGGTTTAATACATCGTACATGTATGCATTTAATAAACTTCCAGACTATGATATATCAGACTTCAGTGCTGTACTTGGGTACTGAAACTTGAGAAACAAACCAAAATTCTCACTTTTGAAGAGTAACATTCTAGTTGAGAATTGTAAACAAATTAATGAATTGTTATAAAATACCACATATGCATGCCGTTTAGAAAAATGAGCATAACTGTTATTTTACAAAATATGGCCAGGGCAGTATCTTTAATGAGGTGTACATTTGACCTTAAACCTATTCAGCACAACTTCTACACAGTATTTTCCAACTGCCTTGAATATACGGATTTATAACCTACGTTTCTGAGATGCAAGATGTTTTCTAGTTAACAGCTTCTCAGAACACCAGGCACGGGATTGTCTCAGTTCACGCTGCACTGGGACTTACCTTCCGGAGGCAGATTGTGCAGACTAGGCCCTGCCTTCCCCCCCAGTGCTGAGACTAGGCCAGCTTTTTCCCCGTTTTCTCCGGCAGCAGTAAGACACCATGCCTGATGGTACCCTTACTCAAATTCGACTCAATGTGACAAGACTCTTTTGATGAAAAAAGTGGGTGGCCCTGAGAAGGGCCTTTGGGAAAGTAGCAGGAAATATTAAGAGTTTAGCCCCCGAAGCCGTAGAGCGTGCGTCCCTGGCGCTTGAGCGCGTAGACCACGTCCATGGCCGTGACCGTCTTGCGCTTGGCGTGCTCCGTGTAGGTGACGGCGTCGCGGATCACGTTCTCCAGGAAGACCTTCAGCACCCCGCGCGTCTCCTCGTAGATGAGGCCGGAGATGCGCTTCACGCCGCCGCGCCTGGCCAGGCGGCGGATGGCGGGCTTGGTGATGCCCTGGATGTTGTCGCGCAGCACCTTGCGGTGCCGCTTGGCGCCACCTTTGCCGAGGCAGGTGATGCCCGATGTTGTCGCGCAGCACCTTGCGGTGCCGCTTGGCGCCACCTTTGCCGAGGCCTTTGCCTCCCTTGCCGCGTCCTGACATGTCCAAAACTTTGCAGAGACCAGAGTGAGTGAAGTGCACCCGTGCAGCCTGATTAAATATAAGCTAGAGTCGGACCTAATTGAGGACTACAACCAGGAGGGGCGCTGGAGGTGCTGCAGCCGTCCCTTAGCTCCGCCCTTCTCTGGGCTGTGACCCGAGGCCTGTGAGAATGAACTCTGTAAATACTTTCTGGTTTTAGTTACTGGCTTTTTCCACCTCCCGTTGATTACACTGCTGTTTGAACCTGTGGTTTTATCATCGCCTAAGAATTTTACTGAGGGCTTCAGGATTCATGACAAAACAATCGAAGGAGTGAGAAATATACCATTCCAGCTTATTGGTGTTATAGACAGATTGAAAGCATCTTTTTTTAAAAAAAAGTATAAACATAGAAGCTGAAGTTGAAATTCCCATATGAATGATGCCTTCCCTACGGGAGGGGCAAACAACCAACTTTTTTAAAAAGGAGAGGAATAGAGGCCAAGAGAATTCTCTGCAAATGAGCCTTGTTAAATAAACTACCCTGGTCATTTCCAAGCCCCTCTATCTTTTCACATTTTGTTTGCAGTTATTGATTTAATTCAGCCTGTGAGTCCCACTTCCTTTAGGTCACCATTAATGTGTTAGGGTTCCTGTGCCACCTAACACTTGTATTAACATTTCTATGCCTTTTTGTGGTTGGCCTATTCCTTTAATTCTGAGGTCCAACTTGGACCCTTAATAGGATGCAGGTGGAGTTTTGCCACCCTTACACATCTGACTTTCTCACTGAAGAGAGAATTATGACCTTGGAACTATGCCATGTCGCTTTTTCATTTGTAACAGTGGGGTAGTAATTACACTATTGGCCTCCTGTGAGAATTTGGTTTAGCTAAATGCAAAAATGTTAGAAAAAGCAAAGGGTTGGGATATAAATATTGCTATTTTGGCTGTTACTTTTAACGTGCTCTTAGAACTAGGGTACTGCTTTCACCTCTCATTTTAGTTTTACTTGCACAGGGTCATTAGTGTAAGACCTAGGGCCTTACTTCCACTCCAAGGAGCTTGAACAGCCAAAAGAGCCTCCAAAATGCTGGGGCCTATAGCCCAGTGATTGCTCCAGGTGTAAGACCTAGGGCCTTACTTCCAGGAGCTTGAACAGCCAAAAGAGTCTCCAAAATGCTGGGGCCTATAGCCCAGCGATTGCTCCAGGAGCTTGACGAGCAGCGAGAATCACTCAGGAAAGAACACACCAGACTAGTTGGTAAACAGACCTTTATTAGTCTGGTCAGAGGGGCACTCCCGGAGCCAAGTATCTCCGAGAGGCCACAGCTCAGGGGCTTAGTCTGTTTTTATAAGGGGATAGGCAGCGTAGGGGTCAATAATAGATGCTTACAGAATGTCCCAAGGTTTTCAAAACATTCCTTCCCAACAGACAAGGAGTGAAACAATCTTATCTATTCACCCAGAACAACTTAACTTTCACCTGTTAATTTACATTAATCACAGTTGAGACTAGGAACTTACGATTACATAGTTATGTAGTTTCACATTAGTTGAGAATATGTATGGACTTAGGAGGGTTTTTTTTTTAAGTAACAGTATATAGTAAAGCACGAGATGCTGACAGTTCATTTTATATGTGACAGATTTAAAATCAATGTGCAAATATTTCTCTGTTCTCCTCCCCAAGACAGTTCCCTCCAGCATTCTCACTGCCAAACCTTGAATGAAGTTCAGATTTCCAAATCTGCATATAGGTTTTCACTGTTGTGTTATAGATTCCTAACCCTTGTTAATTAATAAGCAGTTTACTACTGGAAAAACTGGAAGCGCTGATACTAATTTTTTAAAGCTGATCCCATAGAAATTGAATTAGTTCTTTTCTCTGAGAATTTTGTTCTTTTCACACAATTCTCTCTAATCAAAACTGATTCTAAATTCCAGGAATTTTAGCTATAAGCATCAGTTTGTGGTGTGGTATTTGTGATTACTTTCTGGAAAAGAAATGCTATGTTTTGCCTAAGCCCTTGCAACAACCAACATTTAATATATACAAGGTAAAACTTCACCTCTATCCTTTTAGGGTCTGGATTTAACATGAGAATTTATTTCTCATGAAATAGATTAAAAGTATATAAGGAGCTGGGTGTGTTGGCACACCGTTGTAGTCCAAGGATGCTGAAGCAAGAGGATTACTTCAAGTTCAAGCACAGCCTGAGCTACATATCAAGACTCTGTCAAAAAAAAAATATATATATGGATAGATATAGATATGGATATATATGGATATATATATATATATATATGAATATACATATGGATATATATGAATATATATATATATATATGTGCCGGGCAGGGTAGCACACGCCTATAATCCCAGCATTTGGGAAGCTGAGGCAGGAGGATCTCTGAGAGTTCAAGACCAGCCTGGACTACATAGTGAGTTCCAGGTCAGTCTCACAGTCTCAACTACATAATAAGACCCTGTCTCAAAAAACAAACAAACAAACAAACAAACAAAAAATATATATTATGTCATATTTTTATGGACAGGGTAGATTTCATGAAACTAAATCCTAAATAAATGGCAATGCCTAATTGTCTTTATAGTAAGTTGAACAAATAGGGGCAATTTGGAAGAAGCTGAAAGAAGACAATATCTTGAAATTCTCTCAGTTATGACTTCCTACTGTTTGCACAAAATCTTTGATTACACCCTCCTGAAGAATATTTCTTTTCTCCTAGTAAAGTAAGGACATCTTTCACAAGGAAATGTTTTTCTCCTTAAAAAGAAAAAGGCCTTTCAGAATGCACTCTTTGCATCCACTATATTAGAAATGTCTTTAGCTCAAAATAATTCTTATATATTAGTGGAAATTTGGAGGTAGCATTTCTGCCTGTCTTTCTCTCCAGCCCACCTTAATAATGCAAAATAGGTGCCTCCTGCAGTGATAAAATCCTGGTGGTGCTCTTCATGCAAAATAGTCAGTCATTTTTTTCATAAATGTGGATTTTTTCCATACTTTGATTTATACAAATATACAGAAATTTTATTTCTAGACAGATTAATTTCTAAACATAGATTAAACCAGAATCTATGCAACTAAGAACAAATGAAAAATTCAGAATCTCAAAGTTAGGTCATGTCAAATTTTTTAAAATCCTAGTGTATAAATAATATACAGCTAATTATCAATACTTCTATAATCCTAGATGTCTGCAAAATAGACTCATATCTCCATTACAATCTTTCAAATATTACCCTCATTTTTCTGATGGAGAAATAGATTTGTCTTAGTTTCTTTGTTTTCTTTTTTATTTTTTTGGTACTGGGGATGTAAACTCAGGACCTTGCACCTGTGAGGCAGGCAGTGCAATCACTGAGCTAAATCCCCAGCCCATGTCATAGGTGGTACAGTAGGTACCATGGTTGCTTTTTGAACCTTAACAAATCATCACCAAATGCTATTTCTGGCCAATTTCTTTTTTCTTTCTTTCTTTCTTTCTTTCTTTTTTTTTTTTTTTTTTTTTTTTTTTTTTTTTTT